AGTATACGACGCTACAATCATCATCACATGCTGCTGAACGCATGATTAAGAACAAGCAACACATGACCAAATTTGATCAAATGATCGTCATGGAATATTACACCAACTGAAAGGGAAGAAAAATTAAAAGACATTTCTCACAACTAAAACATCAACTAATTACGAACGCTTAATATTTTCATTCAAAAGTAAAATTCGAAGTCATTTTTAGTTTCTAATGTATATGCTTTTTCTTTCTTTTACGTCAATAGCTTGGCAAAAGAAGAACAATACTGTAATCAAATTTCTTTCATTTTTCTGAGAAAGTTGATTTTTATGAAGTATTTCAAAGCAAACAAAAGGCTGACTAAGACGAAAGAAGAATCACCGTTTTTCCAGTCATTAAAGCAGAGCCGTCCGAGAAGTGGGATTTCGTTGCTGATCAAAAACCTTTAAAGGCAACTGAAAGTTGTATCACGATGAGCCAATTTTTATCTGCTTTTTACACTTCTGATATAAAATATCAACATAGTTTTTTGATATCAGCGTATTTTTTTGATAGACGGCATTAGTGGCCTCATTGCACCATTATCGTTCTAGCATCACACAGGCAGATTTACTAGCCGTCGAAACCGGCTTACTATACTCAGAACTGTACCAGCTTTCAGAATATCACATTATAAATACTTCAAATGACCATCTTCATTCCAAAAAGCCACTGAAAATTAAAAAAGCTTGAAAAATCATGTATTTCATTTCGTAGTTTTCTTGCGACAGCCAAACGAAAAGCACTACCAAAACGGAATTTATGTCAAATATAAAGGTCCGAAAGATTCTAATTCTATCGAATTAGAGTATTTATAGCCAAAATAAAAATACGCCTTTTTTGAAAAGTACTCTTTGAGTTAAACGTTTTGTAGAAACCTTTGAAAACTGTTTTAATACATGGATCCATAAAGGTTCAAATTCTAAGTAAAATCATAGATTGGCCAAGGTTTCAGGATCTCTCTAGATTGAGAAATCCAAGGCAAAAACTGTTAGTTTTCTACTGATTATTTCTTCCAACAAAATTTTCAATGATTACAGCTCGTTAAGTATTGGAGGAAAAAATTTAAATGAGATATCGTACTTTAGTCCTATTATTCTTATTAAAAATTTCCACCTTACAAAGTAATTTTTCAATTATGACATATCGTTTTGGCTGTTGCAAGAAAACTACGAAATGAAATACATGATTTTTCAAGCTGTTTTAATTTTCAGTAGCTTTTTGGAAGGAAGATGGTGATATTCTGAAAGCTGGTACAGTCCTGAGTATAGCAAGTAATATCGAGTCGAAATCTGAAAGAACTGGACCTTGATCCAGGAAAACAAGATCTTATGGATAGACGGCATTAGTGGTCTCATTGCACTATTATCGTTCTGGCATCACACAAGCAGGTTTACTAGCCGTCAAAACCGGCTTGCTATACTTAGGACTGTACCAGCTTTCAGAATATCACATTATAAATACTTCAAATGACCATCTTCATTCCAAAAAGCTATGTCATGAACAGTATCAAATTCTGCATTGCAAATGTATCTCTCAAAAAAAATCGAGATAAAAAGTTTTTCGATGTTCAAAGGGGAGATCCTTGTCCAAAAATTTCAAAAAAAATGAAAGTTGCTTTTTCAGTGAATTAAATATGGCCGTTTTGTTCAACATTTGGCGCTGACTCCGAATAAATGATTTTTATTCCAAAGTACTGTGGACGAGAGAATGGCTTTATCCGTCTTCCTCCTTTCCCTTTACTCGTTTCTTGCTTTTTGTGTTTGCTTTTATATTTTCACTTTTCTTTTCTGTTTATTAGTCTTGAAGATTTTATGGCAAAGCAGTATGAAGCTTATGATGCAAAGTCAGATAAACTCTATAACATAAAACAGAACCGTTACAGCTGTAGTTTGATTATTTTTTATATTTGATTATTAACTACTTATCAAATACAGAGAAGTACAACAACAGATGTGTGTATTTGGATCAATAATCAATATTAAGGTTTATGTTGAAGAATAGATGGGAAATACCATATCGTGTTTTGAATTGCAGAGTGGTAAAAGAAGAGAAATATATATATTAGCAATTCATTAGGCAAAACAATTTGTTTGAATAATACAATCACTAACAGCTCTTACATAAATTTTTTAATTCTTCAGATGTAAGTGAAGTTTCCAAAGTTTCAATAAATTCCCAGAAATATTGTACTGAAATATTGACCTCAGAGCTAATCGTGCTGTAATATACATACTGGATTGACAGTAAGCCGGCTAGTACACCAATGTTATGTTCCCAAATATAATCTTGAATAGTATTCTATCTTCTTCACTTTATTTCCTAATTACTTCCTAACACACGCTAAACTCTCTAAAGCACAGCTATTTATACATAAAATTTACATATAGTTGAACACACTAGAAACATATGGAAAGAAGAGTAATGACGTAAGGAGAATAAAAGAATATGACACATAATACTGACCATATGACGTTAGTAGACAAGGAGGGACCTATAATAGTCACATTTCTAAACGTATGAGCTCCTTATGTGTTTACGACATAACTGACATCCTCTTCGGTCACTCTGTAACATGAACAATACTGATCAAAAGCAAGATTACGAAGATGCAAATCTTTCTGCAGCTGCGAGAAGCCTTGATGCAGTTCTGTCCAAAAATCCATTGATGTGTTCTGTTACTGCAACACAGCAGTTATTCAGTCGTGCGATATGGGCGTCTTAATCCTTGCGATTTCATACAGTAGCGATTTTGAATATTTCTAAAATAGCTGAAGGATGAGTTGAAACAAGCGTAACTGATAAAACGTATAGCCCTATCATTTTCAGCATTATTGACAGTCAGTACACCAGGTTTAACTTTTCTAATTTGTATTCTTCGCTTATTAATAACCTGCGTGGTCTTTTGAGTAGCACTGTTTCAAGGGACAACACATGTTTGCTACTCGATCTTTAGGCTCCATTTTCGACGCATTCTTTTGTTGGCATGAATGTTAGTTGGGGTTTTCAACATTATTAACATGTTTAAGTTCCACTTTAAATTGAAACAATGCCTTTTTCAATTTCTGATCCTTTCATAAAATTTGAGTAGTCGGAACTCACAGAAGAAATCTATAGGCGGTCAGAAAAGATCGAAAATTACTTATGAGAGAACTTTGACAATTGGCTCGAGACTTTTTGTTTCAAGTATAGGTGAGTAGAGGTAATTGAGAACTTCTCTCAGTTTCTAAAGTTTCTTTGTCTTTGTTTCAGTTATATAAAGTAAGAAAAAGCCTAACTGAAGGAAATCAAAACGGTGAATTTTTGTTTTGCAGTCAACATCTATAGGTACAGGTTGACAGAGCCCAATTTTTGAATTTGTCATTTACCGATTAACGATACTTAATAGAACTTTTAAATTCAAAAAATCCTTAGAAGGTTTCTTAGAAATCCTCATTATTGAAAGCATAATTTAAAAATCGGATTCTGTCAAATTCTAGCTATAGGTGTTGTCTCCATATGAAAAAAATTATCTTTCTCCCATGCATCATAACCGCGAATTCCTGCACGCGGCGAAAGAGGAACATCACTTTTGAGATAGGATGGCGTTAGTGGCTAGTGTATGTTTCAGAGTTCCCGCAAAACTAAAATAACTTTTACTGAGAATATTATTCAGGGCTGAATGATGTCTCATTTTGATCAGAAATGTTTAGTCTCTGTCCCCGATGTAACTGATAGTATTTCTGTATTTGCTTTTTTATCGTGAGAGAGAATCTGTCAAAAAGCTAGTTTTTCAATGCTGCGGGAATAACACCAGGATTTGGTATGTAAAAGAATCAATATTGCCAATTTTTTGCTTTTTGGTGCCATGCGTTTCAATATATTTCGAAATCGATGAATGTAAATTGACTTTACCAGGGGTGGACGAGTCCGAGTCTGGAATGGAAGATTTTTTTGAGGACTCGAACTGGCGATTCTTTCGAAAGACTCGGACTCAAACTTGCGTTTTTGTATCTCGAATCCCATCGAGTCAAGTTTTAACATAAATGAACACTAAATTTTTTCTTTAGCAATTCAATAAAAAGAAAATAATTGTTTCCACATTTAACTAATCTTTCTTCATCAAAAATGAGTGAAAACTGGAATAATAACAACTTCTGTTTCACAAGAAATCGAAAATTTTATGAAGGAGACGGGTATGCAAAGTAATCTCTTGGAATATCTGTTCAGGTCTCAGTAAATTAGCTAGAAAACTTTTGCGTTCCGGCTACATCGGCATTCATTGAGCGTAGTTTTTCTCAATCAGGATTTTTGATTAGACGCGAAAGAGCACGTTTTAAGAAAACCAAATCTATCTCAACTGACATTATTAAAAGTTTACTTTAGTAACGTTTTCTGTTTCAACAAGATTGATGTATTAAATGGAATAGAAAAAAAATAAAAATAAAGCACAATCATCAAAAAAGAATTTAAAAGATTATCGGATCTGAAATGGTCTCAGACTCGGTCCTTAATGTTAGGAACTCGGACTCGGATTGAATAAGTGGAAAACATTCGAACTAAGGATTCGGACTTGCCCAATTCTGGTTTTAACTGCTACGTTTATTGCATAAAACAAATTGTAACGATCAATTATTTATCGTATGAAAATATTGTGTGAATTGTCTTTAATTGAATAAAACTCCGAAGGATCATAGACGGCAAACAAAGTAAAATGTACATCAGTTACACTAATAGCTTAGCAAACAGAAGAAAAGAAAACAATTATAAAAGTAAAACAAATCAACATTTGATGCATAAGAGTCCATATGAAATTCACATTTCTTTAGTTACACTTGTGTATTATCAAAATATTCACAACTCATCAGTAAAGCGAGTATATCATTATCCTGTTAATGAATTGCGCTGTTAAGGATATATAGGGCGGCATACAGAAGAAAACCAGAAATTAAGTGGTCTACTTTATAAACTGGGCATTGTTCGAATCTGCTAAGGTATGCACCTTCCTCCTAATTATCCTTATTCCACGCCTCAATATGTAAGTAATTTACTATTGTAATCTACTATGTGCAACCTGACAGATTGTGTCTAGATTCATCAACTTCCAAAACAAAACCACATTCAACATATCGCTCCTGCACAAAAGGTGAATTTGAATATTAATCGGTTAAAACAAATAAAAACAAAAAAGAAACCGTACAAGTAGGGGCTGTAGATAGTTATTTTCATTCGAAACTCTCATATTCTGCCATGTCTATTTTAGTTCAGAAGCCGGTCTTGATTGTTGGAAAACAACGAAATGCAAAATAGTCACAGTCTGTATTATTGGCGCTTTAGTAGTGATAGTCGGGATTCTTGTGCCCGTATTACTCGGTTTATTCAGTATAACTCACGCAAGTACGCATAAATCATAAACTGACTTCTCTAGATTAGTAGCAGAATTAACTGAGAGTGAATGCAGGTCGGTCTCTACGAAATATGGTTTTGAGATACGTCTGAACGATACTTCAGTTTTTGTGTATCGAATGACGTTTGCCGCATGTTTTTTTTCCAGTCACTGGAAAGAAATCTTAAAATGATTTTCTTTTCTCTACAGCATCTACTACACAGATATTTTGGCCTTTCGATGGAAATACAAATGATTTTTATGGTACCTATAACGGGGTTGCTCTGAATAATCCTACCTACATCTCGGGTGGTATCACCGGCTATGGCTCTGCCATCAAACTCGTAGCTGCATCATCCCAGAGCATCGTTGTAGCAACCTATTTGAATCTTGCTAGTACTAGTTTCACGGTTCAAACATGGCTCTATCCGACGACTACACCTAGTGGAGACAATGCGATCTTTGGTCAGTGTGCTTGTACCACATGTACCGATCAATGCATGTACCTGGTGTTAAGAAGTGGTTTGGTTTATATGGGTTTTTATGGAGACAATCTCGCCGGTGTGACATCGATCACGGCCAGTAAGTGGTGGCACATCGCGTTTGTGTTCGACAATGTCGCATCTACACAAACCATTTATGTAAACGGGGTGCAAGATGCAACACGCACATCAAATTCTTATAAAGGTACATCTGGAAATCTGACGCTCGGAACTTCTGCTATTCTAACTCCGAGTAACTATTTCAACGGTTATTTTGATCAAATGGCTTTTGTTTCTAAAGCTAAAAGCGCTTCCGACGTATTGGACGCCGCCACATTAACAGTCTACTTTACGTTTGATACTTCCCTCATCTCCAGTATTAATTCGTTTGATTCGGGACCTAATCTAATAAACGGAACCGCAGTCGGCGTTACATCGACGTCGAATGGTCGAGTCAATCAGGCCATCCAGCTCAGCACTTCCGGTACCTACTTCCAAATAGGGGGGCTCGTTCTACTGGGAACATCAAACTATCCGTATTCGGTATCTGTTTGGGTGAAACCGACATCGTTGGCTGGAGGAACCATTATTCATCTGTCCGCGTCTAGCACGGGCAGTGGTGGGTGGTGTATAGGTGAGTGATTTTCGATGTTGGCATGTTGCTGAATATGCAAAATTCGTAAAAGTAATAGTTTAATTGAGCATTTCCCAAGTATTGCTCTAGAATCAGGAAGGGGTAGCAGTGACTTAAGATGCATCAAATAGTGTACAATCAAGTGCAAAGTTGTAAAAACGATTTGTTTTTATTGTTTTTTGCTCAATCGTAATAAACAAAACAGATCTGAAGAGTCTTTTTTCATAGCTGAAAGAGTTTTCAATCAGGAGAGATGTATATGTAAGATAGATAAAAAATCGGATTATTCAATACTTCGGAAGATTTCCGGAATCGTGGTCCGGATCGTTTTCGACTGCGTTATAAAGCTCCTAATTTTACGCGAAAATAGACAAAACTGGCTTATGCCACTCAGTATAAGTTTTCACTCGGTTTTTGAAGTTTTTCAGAAAAACTAATGCTGCCACGAGACTCAGCGTTGTCGATAATCTAAGTTTCCATTCATTTTCGGGATTACCGCACTTAAGAGAACATCGATCTAGGGCTCCGAAAAAAGCCGAGGCCACACCTCAGCCACAAAAGATTGAGATGTCGCTTAATTCTTATTTTAAAGAGGATACTTTGTTCTAGCTATTGACATAAAAAGTTCAATAACTTGATATTTTAAAATTTTCCGCTATGCAAGAGCTTTACAGAAATCCGTTGAAAAATCGTTTTTAAAAGACTCTTTAAAAATGCTGTTGCCTGTAAAAAGATGGTCCATAAGCTTCTCTTTTCATAACTACAAACATTAGTTCTGTAGTTAGTGTATAGCCATTCAAAAGTTATACAAAAGACGGCAATGGATCATTCTTTTTTTTCAGCGAATAATAGAAATGTTTTGCACACAACTTAGACGGAAAAATGAAGTCATCTGGATTAAATAAGACGTCTTCGAGCCCTCCATGTCATTCGTCTGTTACACTGGATACACTACGGAACGTTCCGAAAGTATTTTGTTGTGTACTGTGTGATCTTGATTTTTTAGTCGAACTTGGATGAGAGTGAATGATTTGGTTTACTAGAGATATTATATTAAAAAATTTTTTATCTAACTTGCATATACATCGCTCTTGATCGAAAACTCTCTCAGCTATGATATCACTTTCCAGATCTGTGCTGATTATTACAATTAAACAAAAAAAACAAATCGTTTCTACAATTTTTCATTAGGACTCGCCTTAGGACTGTATAATAAGAGTAAATTAGTTCACTTATTCTGAGCGGTATTCAGGTTTAATATGAGAGAACATTGTCACAATGAAGCCGGAACTTCTTCTAAACTACACAGTTTAAGGTCATTATAAGAAAGTGAGGAAGGAGTAATATGATTCTAATTACGCTCTCTGGTGATTAACAGCTTCAAAAAAGAAATTAACTGTTAGTGGCAATTCCCGATACTGATCACGAATTTAATAATCGTTTCGGTGATTGAGCACTTCTTCGTGCTCCTGTTCCCATCAGAAACTTCCCCCCCCTCATTCCTGTGAGTTCCAGCAGTGGCTGACTTCTTCCAGATTCAGAATTCTAATCAGCACACGGCAGAATCGAAATAGTGAGACAGAATTGAATGTAAAAAAGTAAGTAATCTAATGGAATTATGCAGAATTGAACACTTCCACAGAAGAATTGAAGTAGAACTGAATATAGATTCAGCAGAATCGAACAAGGATGAAACAGAGTTGAATATAGAGAATCCGGCTGGCTCATTGAGCCGTATCAATTAATATTTCTGTGAGCGCATGCAACTACACAGACCGATATTTCTGAACGCCCACCACTCCTCATAACGTACACCGTAGGAGGAGGGGGTGGAGGTGGAGACGAAGCATAAGAATGAGTAATCAATACAACATTTCGAAACTGAGCCTAATTGGTTTAGAAACGGTGCGTGGTGAAAGCTGCAGTTCTGTTTCATCATTGTTCAATTCTGCTGTGAAAATGTTCAATGCTGCTAACGTCAGTTCAGTTCTGCTTAACCTGATTGGTCTACTGGCTTTTCTACATTCAATTCTGTCCCATTGTTCAATTCTGTTGAAGCGAGGTAGAATTCTGAATTTGTACGAACTCTGCTATCTCTGGTGAGTTCTTACACGTTAGAAACCAACAGTGCAACAACGGTGTGATTCATTTAGGCATGATGGGTCTCTCCTCAAGCGGACAGATCGTCTTACAGTCATGGAACGGTGGTGCTGTATATGTTACTGGACCTATTCTCTCTGGCAACACGTGGACTCACATTGCCGATACGTTTAGTATTTCGAACGGACTTCGATTATATGTAAATGGTGTATTATATAATTCAACTGCTCCAATATCTTATGCAGCGAGTTCCGCATCGAATTACATAACTCTTGGAAATCCCCTCACCGGAAGCGGCTGTTCGCAAGGAGCAATTTCAGCTGGACAATTTTATGGGTACTTGGATGAGTTTCGGCTCTATTCCAGAGAGTTAACAGCAGCTAATGTTGTTTCACTCGCTAATCCTACATGATTACTAATGTCAGGCATTCGTCCTAAATGAAAATACAGTGAAATTGCCTGGAGTCTACGTTGCATACATGTTTCTTTAATAATAATTCTTTTGCAAAAGTACAGAAAGAAATTGCTAATCGAACATTAATTCTTAGGTTCTAGCTACTTTTCGATGCACTAAGAATGTGTAAGGCATAGATAATGTTCTTTTGTTCGAGAAAGAAACAGAAAAGTAATCATATCTAAGTGATGTTTAGATTTATTAGATAAGATGGTGTTAGCGATCTCACTCTGTCATGATTATCAAAGGTTAAAAAGACACAACGCTTATATTTTTCTTAAAAGTTCTCACAGCCTGAAGAGTGATGATGAATTAATAAAGAAAATGCAGAGATAATTGAGTAAAAGAACATTACCTCACTAAACATGTGCCTGACATTCTGGGGGCGAGAGAGTTCCAGTACCTCGTAGATTCAAAGGAATTCATAGTTATGTTTGCAGACGTGAACAAAGCTTGTTTCCGAGTTAAGATGTCTCAATTTTCTATCGAGACCTAGAGCTACACAAAAATTAAAAAAATAAGGTCGTGAAAAGACTTTTGTTTTCGGGTAAAACCGGAACATAAAATCTTCTTTTGATAATATAAGAAATAAATACATTTCATACGAAACTTTTCAATTGAAATGAGCCACAAATGTTTGGTTTAGCGATAATGAGCAAGAACATGAGTCTCACTTGCTTCAGCAGCATTTAGTAGTAGTAGTAATTTTATTTAGTCCTTGATCTTAAAACTGACTTGGTGATGATGAAAGTTTAAAAGAAACTTTGTCTAGATCATACCGAACAAAGAGAAAAATATAACATAAAAAAAAACAAAAA